AACCTCTAGCTGAACCGGACCACGACAATAGGGCTATATCATCTAGTCCCCCCCAACAATTACTCTAAGCGACTTCAGAGCTTAAGAGTAAGTATAGTAATTGTGCCTTCCTTCTCCTTCGTTGATAAATCGTCTCGTCCTTACTCTCAAATCATCTCGTCTGCGACTCACGAAATCCGCCTAGGTCACTTAGGGTTCAACTTCATCATTTAAGCACCTTTTCTGAGCATATCCACTTATCATTATTTCGAATTTCAAATTTTGGAATTGGGGCCTGACACACCGCCCCATCTTTCCTTTTGCCGCTTCGAATTCTGTGCCACATATGAACCGTTGATTTTACTTTAATCCAACAACCAGGGTTCCACAACCTCTCCTATAAATACTGCCCTCTTCCTCTCCTTCATACTTTCCGCACTCAAGAACTCTCAAGCTTTCCATTTTCTTCTGGCAATAAAGCATCCCGCGATTCCGGCGTGCATCTCCTTCCGGCTGCTTATCCGGCACCCTCAGAACCTCCTAATCCGTCAATATGTGTAAGTTTCCTTCATCCTTTATTTCTGGAAGATACTATTTTGTTTATTTTTTTTCTTGCCTGTTTTCTGGGTTTTCGATTTCGGAATTCTATGTATGTTCTTAGTGTTCTTGAGAATCTTGGAACGATCCTGGATATATTAGTGTTATATCTTAAAATACGCTTTTGTCGACTTAAGATTATGTTTTAAGGAAGTCCCTTCTCCGGGACATAATCGACTTTATCCTCCTCGTGTGTCGACCTCTGTCGAACCTAGTACCTCCCCGTTCCTTCTTTACTATCGACTCCCGTCTTCTGACGAGTCCATTTTAGGCTCGGGCCTATTTCCTTGTCCGTAGTCCCTCTGGCCTGAGCACTTTTCCCTGAGGTCGACTTTATAATTAGAAGTCCTTCGCGTGTCGACATACTCTATCGTCTTCCTTCACTTTTATATTGATCTTTGTTTCTCAACTCTTTCTCATAGATTTCGGGTCCGACTCTGTTTCTGGCTCTATTCCCGGCTCTCTCGTCCGTCAAATAGAAGAATATTCCAGCTCCGACTCTATCGAAATAATTGGCTCTAGACCTGCAGTCGAGCAAGAGAGATCACAAGGTTCCTCCACCTCGATTTTCGGAATAGACCACAACGTATATACCCAAGCACTTTTGTCAGGTGATTTGATGCAAAATAAAGACGATCCTACTCGAGGTAGCGACTCTCCTCGACTGAACCTTCTTCCCCAAGGTATTCCCCTTGGGCTCTTAGATATTCCTGTATATAGGACGAGCCCTATTTCTTTGTCAATAACGCCTTCCTTTCTCAAGTCTCGAGATGTAACCATAGCTTGCCCTTTAGCTAAGTTAGCTGTTCTAAATCCATTTTCTTATGCATCTGCAGCCCAAATCGAGGGATTTAGGGCGTTCAGCGGTCTACCTTCCGACTGGAAGCTGCTTCCTCCTCGCCCCAATGACGTTTTCACTCACCCCCCTAAGGGTTGCTTTACCTTCTTCGTCGACCAAATAATGTTTGGCTTGCGGTTCCCTATTCAACCCGAGCTCCTATCGATTAGCAATATGTACAGTGTACCCATAAATCAATTCTCTCCTAATGCTATTCGCATTATGGTGGCTTTCATCATAATCTGTTAGATAAAGTTTGGCCATTTCTTGCCCGAGTTTCTTTTGTATTGTTATAGCTATCGTTTCATAAAGGAAGCCCATTGTCTGGGTCGTCGTCCCGGTGTTTCCTTCCTCGAGGATCTTTCTTCGAATGTGACCGAGTGGAAGACTAAATTCTTCTAC